TGGTCCGCAACTGTCTGTCTTGTCGTCTTCCTGAGGAACTGGGCTACTGTCGGAGGTACTCGACGTCCAGGGGCGGCCCGCGGAGCAGCCTGAGAGGAATACAGAGCAGAAAAGCAAAGCGCCTGCACCACCTACCCCGGCGCTGGCCGGGAGCTGCCGGCCCGCTCCCGCCTTTTTATCTCCGCCGGGCGGCGCGCTAAGGCTTCTGGGAAGACGGAGCAAGATGGCCGCCGCCCGGCCGTCCTGGAGGCGCAGAGCCCTGCTATTTGACCGTGGTCCTGGAGGCTCCCGGGCGCCTGGACTCCTGATGCAGGCTCCCTCGCTTCGCGCTGACAGGAAGCTTACAGGAAAAAGACTTTTTCTTCCTCCAGGAGTTTACACCGACATGTGCTCCTGACGCCTCAGCTGCTCTCCTTACTGACTCCGCAGTAATGGGGTGTTAGATGTCTGAGCACGGGGGGCCGAGCTGGGGGCCGGCCTGACTCCGCGCAGGAAGGCCAGAGAGGAGCGAAAGCACGCTGATGCCACAGGGAGTGTCCACTTGGACAATCAACTTCAGTCTGCTGGGGGGAAATGGTACTTGAGAGTTTATCCAAGCATTTGAAAATCTTGGGTTCCAGAAGTTTCTTTTCAAGGACAAGCAGAATGCTCTAGCCCCTTGTGTCAAGGTGGAGAATGCCACAGGGGCGCCCCTCCTAGTTCCTGGGGCTCCGCTCTTCTGCTCTGCGCCATGGGGGGACATAGGAATGACCTCCCTCTCTCTGCATACACGCAGGTTGAACCATCTGGCTGCATCTAATAAGCATATTGTGCACATAATAACCATCTTTTTTTTTTTTTAAAGAAATACAATAACTTTCTTTTTTCCTATTTTCTTTTTGTTTATGTGGATCTTGTGATGTTATTGCAAAAAACGTATTATGACTTTCATTTATTATTTTTAAAATTTAACCAAAGAACTTATATGCGTGTCTGCATAACCCACGGACACAGACAATAGTGTGGGGAAGGCCC